TATTTAATATTAATTGTCTCAATTCTGGTTTGAAAAGTCTTCATATGAAAGAACTATTATGTAATAAATTCTACAAAAAATGACATCTTAGTCAATTCTTCAAATCAAAGCCAAGAGCAAAGTTTGATATAGTTTTCTTATCAAAAAAAAAAAAAAAAATACTAGATTTTAAAGTGATCCTATTTGACCATAATTTTGTTGCACTCCAACGGAAGCCGGTAGGTGCCAGGTAGAAAAATATTTTGTGTGGCAGCCGCCAAATAATTATCTGGCGGCCGCGACAAAAATAACTGGCGGCCGCCAGATAACTTTCTGACGGCCGCCAGTTATTTATTTGGCTCCCGCCAGAAATTTATCTGGCGGCCGCCAAATAAAATATTTTTTCTACCAGGCACCAACCGGCTTCCGTACACTCCTGACATCTGGTAAGTCATATACTGATTTTAGAGCAGCAAAAAGTTATAGCAATACGGGTTATATAAAAAAAAAAGCCCTGCAGGCTAAAACCCCTTCGAGTAATGACATTGAAGGCTCAGTGCTCAGTTTATAGGTTGTCTTTATGCCCTTGACCTTGAGCATTCCTGTTTCACATGAAACTTCATGCAGCATCATGTGCAGAATCCCTAGGTACTGGGCAGTCATTCTTCCCCCTATAGACAATTTCGACGTATATGTTCCGGTTCTTCACATGTACAGTCATAACATACTACAGGCCATGAAACTTTTGAGCGCCCTGAACTCGCTAATTTCTCCCTCATAATGTCGTAATCAACAATATGTAAATCCATCATAACTTCTATAAGTTTGTCTCTAGCTTTAGAGTTGTTAACATCAGTATAATTATATGTATTGATAGCAAAGTATTGACATCAAATTCCAAACAAGAGGCCCAGGGGCCTTAACGGTCACTTGAGTATAATACAACAGTTTAGTCGATCCATAGAAGTATAAAATAAACTGATAGATGAAGCATTGTTATCCAAAACAAAGAGAAATAGGATGACAAAAATCAACAAAATACTTAGTCTTGTCTTCGTAAGATTTATCACTTATCACCACGAAGACTAATAACAAAACAATAGTGCTTCTATATTGAATTTAACCCCATATTTTTACCTCTCATATTGGCCTATCATGGTGTTTGAAGAACATGAATAAAAAAGTTATTTTTGTCTCATTTTTTTAAATTAAGTATAATTTACAAGTCTACCTGATCATTAAAACTACGAAAAAAGTTTTTGCTTTATACAATAAAAGTTCTTGCATAATTTTCTTATTCAACTAAGCTTTTAAATGCATTTTTACAGTGATTAATTATCAAAGGTGAATGACAAAGGGGAATAACTTCTCTCAGTAGAATACAAACTAACAGAGCCCTGGCCAGCACCAGAAAACTCGACCAAAATCGTCCAGTATATCAAAAACTGGTAAAAATACCCTTCGCAGTACAGTTAAGGCAGCATTTTCTATAAAAAAGGCACCAAAAATGAGACACTTAAAGTTCAACCGTCTTATTTTTTAGCATGAAACTCTATCTGAAATATCTTAATGGCTTTATGAAGAGTTTGTGCATCGGTTTTCACATCGGTATTTTTGTCATCATGTGACCCTCTATAGTCACGTGAGTTCCGATTTTAGGTCAAAATATGAAATGTCAAATTTAACAAAAAAGTGCAAGGGCAAGGCAAACAATATTTGAACTGCACAATGTTTCATTGTGTCCCTTAGTATCTATCCCATCGAAAAACTTATGCTCATTCAGTCAGATTTCTGAGATATTAAAGTTCTTCATTGAAAACAAACACCAGTATTCAAAAATAGGGTATTTTTCCTCATTTGATCGGAAATTTTAAATTGCCTAATGAAGTACAAAGAAATGAGCACCACTTTTTAAAAACTATACAGTAAAGTAAAAAATTTAAAATCAAAAGCTACCTCTTGGGTTGTCACCTCGCCCTTGCACTTTTTTATTAAAAATTGAAATCGTAATTCATTCAATCTAAATATAGTTTTCAAACGCATCATTGACCCAGCATAGGAGATAACTCTGTGGTACTTAATACAGTTTGTGTACCTCGCAAATTTTGAACAAATAATACCTACGGACTGTGTTGGGCTTTATTTCATTAAATCAAATCGGTATGCATAAAAAAATCCTTGACTTTACTTTGTTTTGTGTATACTCTACACAAGACGTATTTGACACCTACCGCATTTCCTCCGTTCGTCAACAATAGGCCTAAAATTTGCCGCAACATCTATCATGTAAATCAATTGGAAAATGCCCATGGTTAAAAATATTGAAAGATTCAATCATTTGTAATAAAAAATAGACAGCCGCTATCAATGATAAAATATTTATTCTCCCCCAGTAGACACACAGAAAAAATATCTCCAACAGAACTTAGGGTTTTTTTTAACATATGTGATTATTTCAGTTATCAAATCTTCAACTGTTTAGGGATTCTAGACTATGTTAAAAGTGTGAAGAACAGGAGGAAGGGATTGGGGTGCTTACTGCTGTATTTAATAACCTGTTTTCCTTTGTACAGATCTAGCCCCCCCCCCCCTCCCCATCACCAGTTTGCCTCTGACTCCTTTGATACCATTTACTTGCATGTAAAAAATAAATTATTAAACAGTGTTTACATCAGGCTTTACGTATTTAAGTATTGAAGCACAAATCACATTTGGGGGTGGGGGGGGGGGGTGGGGGGGTAGTCTCATTTATTTGAGTTATTATCAATCCGTGCGCAAACAAGATAATCACAGTAAAACATTGTAATCAAGAAACATATACTCTGTTAAAGAACAGGTGAACACAATATACATGCTGAAATTTAGATCTTGTTGGTACCCAAAAACACAGACAGGTGCGAAGCCTGAATGGAAGTGAAATGTACGCAGAGAACGACTGGGGTCCGCTTTGAGACCCCCAGTTGGTCCAGGGCGAAGCCCTGATGAGAACCCAGGGGCGAAGTCCCTGAAAGCTCATGGGTTTTACCAAATATTTCATTCAAAATCATGCCATTTCGATTTTCTTTAGAAAATACAAGACATAGTACTTAATATTGCTTTTAACACAGTTAAATACTTCCGTGCAAATTTATTGTACATGTAGAGGCTGAATATTTTCTAAAAATGATATATGAGTATTTGTATCATCTACTCTTTTTTAACTTTCATCAACATATATAATTACATGTGTAATTTCAATTATTAACAAAAATAATGTTATATTTCAAATCATATTCTAGTAGATCACAGCATTCAACGGTTGATATTAAAAAAATATTTTAAAAAATTATCAATGTGTTGTAGAAGAATTACAAATTAATAAATGTTTTATTTGGTTGTGGCAATGATTTAATAAAACATTACAATTTTTTCATAAAGACATGGTAATATAAAAGAGCTAGGTTCACTTTATGCATAAAATGGCCCTATCCTTATATCAATTATTTGACTATCAATCTCTATCCCATTTCATGTATCAAAATAGAGTAGAGACTTAGTGCTTTCATTTCCTATCACAAAATTTCTTTTTGAGAATCCAGGTATTGGAAAACAAGCTTTGGGACAATGCAATGTTCTTGAATTTGGCAGAAAACATGCGTATTTGACTACCTTCAGCAAAGAATTAAATTATTAGCACAGCCCACGATCCAAAAATTAAAACATATTTTGTGATCTTCAGAAACAGATCTTTCATTATGTAATTGCATATTTTGGATCAGAGGTTGTGCTCTATATGTAATATTAAAAAAAATACCTCAACTTTTGGCCATTTATAAGGGAATTTACAGGGTATGGGAAAAATGACGCATTTTATGACGTCATAATGCTTTGACTAGAGAGAAAATTACGTCATGTTCAATAGATACACGGTCACCAAGGGTCCAAGTTATAAATACTGCATTTTCAACTAAAACTGAGTAGTTTCGATTTTTCAGAAATTCTCAGGGCCAAAAAAGGCCCTAAGTGGCTCTTGCTCTTTGAATTTGAATCGAAACAGTATGAGATAAAATAATTTGAAACACAAATATTTGCTGGATGGTATTGATATTTTTTCTCTTCTCACAAATCTCTCCCCCCCCCCCCCTTCTCATTCTTTTTAATTTGAAAACGATGTGTACACATCTGCGTATAGGCAGCTATGCACCTGTCAGAATGCATGTATATTCAAGTAAAGATATTCAAATCTTAACAGCCTTCAAACTTTCACACCACTGTACTGTTAAAAATTCAAAGTATTATTTATCTCGAAAATTTATTTAATTAAAAACAGCTTTTCAAATTCAAAGGCAGGCTGTGGAGGGATTTCTGAGCAGGTGCAAAATACTTCAAACAGTCCACAGTTCAAACAGTTCTTCTGGATGAAATCAATTCTGAAAACAAAATGAAATGAAAGTTTATTGGTGTTTTAAAAAAGTGATACTCAAAACAATGCATTGATTAACATGGAAAGCATATACATGTATGTATTTGTAACTCTACTGTTTTTATTATCAAAACATTTCAATAATCTTGCTAGGAATATGCATGGTTTATAGCTAATATGGAGCATACCTTTTTATTTTATTGGTGGGAACACTTGCTGCCTGAATGAATTGTTCAAATTGTTTGGGAGTAGCTACAACAAAATATATATGTAATGAGTGAAAAACATAGTGATTACTATTGTAGAATGAAATAACATTGCTTTGTACAAAACAAACCATGCTATACTATATTTTCTGAAATTCATAAAATAAATGGAAACAAACTTTTGATACAAAACTTTTCTGGGATATTGAAACCTATGACATTTGCAAAAGTAGAATTGGTAGCTGTACTTAATTTAAGTAAAAAAAATAATTCAATATACTAGAGATAACATTTAATTCTTTCACATATACAACATTAAAAAAAATTTAACACTGGCATACTATAAAATTAATGTGAAATGCTTTAGTGTGATCATACCCAGTGGAGAAATTGATGCATCTATTTTGATAGTTCTAGCTGATGTAAATGCCAGTTTTAACTAGTTCTGTGACAGCTACAATGACAAAAGAATTATACATATAAACAGTACATAAATTCCATGTATATACATATGTATAATGTACATGTAGTCAGACAAATGGAAATTCAAACATTTTATTTTCATTAATGTAGAAATTCTACAAATTTACAGCCTAGTGATACAGATAGTAAAAGTTCTACAATGAATTTAAAATATGAAGCACTGGTAAAAACTGAAATCTTAAAATTCACATATTTTTGATTGTCAGAGGTATAAATTAAAATATATAGGGTCTTATACTCTTGTTTGTACAGTGCACATACATTGTACACTGTGCAGTTTGACTTCACAAATACATTGTAAGTGTGACTGCATCTAAATTATACTGTTTGATATCATGACGTGCTCTGCTTATATTATGTTACATGTTTGTACATGTATGCCAAAGAACAACATCATTGCATGTATAAAAGTGTGCAACTTTCATAATGTGTGTGTTTTTGTGTATGTGTGTGTGTGTGTGTGGGGGGGGGGGATACACACAAGGCACTGCATTGCAGTTTGTGACGGACTGTAATAATACATCTTATTGTACATGTTCACGGTTATTTTACATCGATGTAAAGAATAGTATGTCTACATGTTAATACCTATGTACATACACACCTTAATGAACAGAAAGGGACCTAGGGAGGTTGTGCGGATCGTCTCAGTTTTCCATGATTTCCCGAAATAACGTCATCATCTTCTCATCAAAAAGTTAAACAAGGCCCAGGTCTCTTATTTTATCCCTATTCTCTTTAAAGATTGCCTGATTGTTGCATTTTTCCACTGCATATCTCAGCTGCTCTCGCCACGTTTTTTAGATGTAAACAACATTCCGTGTCACCGAGTGCAAGCGCTCAGCTGAAGCCGAATGCAGCCAAACGACACAATAAAAAGAGAATTATTTCGAAGACGTGTTGTTTCTATATCAGAGAAAATCACTAATGTTTATTTATTTAAACCTGAAAATACAGACATTCATTACAAATTCTCACAATCATCATTCAATAGCTTTTTTGAGCTCTATTTCCTTATATGGATCTATCAAGGCGGAGCAACTGTCATGACGTCAAACCTCACTATGACCTCAATACCATATTATCTTCATGTGTAGCCTTAACTGTACTGCGTTTCTAATTAAAACTTTCACTCTGCCTCTGAAATGCCCAAGAGCAGAGATGATTTTCAAAGAAATAATGCATTTTCACTCTAGATTCAACATAGCCCCACCCTTACACCAGAACCCATGACACAAGGTCATGAAATTCACAAATTTGGAAGAGATACTCTTGTTCATAATATCTATGCACTTAATTGAAGAATTAACATATTTTCCCTATATCATCAGTAGACCCTCCCCCCCCCCCTTCCAGAAACACCAGAAACCCTGACCCTGGGACCACAAGTTTTAAAAATTTTGAAAGAAACATCCTTGCTGATCATAAGTATGCACTTTGGTTCTCTGCTCAAGACCCTGGAGTAGACAAGATTATTTAATAGAGTGAATGCATTTTCACTGGTATATAATCAGAAGAGTCACACCCTAAAACCAGAACCCCTGACCCAGGGGCCATGAAATTCACAATTTTGGAAGAGGCATCCTTGCTCATCATAGCTATATACTTCGTTTGTTTGTTTAAGTCAGGGGCAGAGAAGAAGATTTTCAAAAATTAATGCACTTTCACTATATAATCAATAGAGCCCCCTCCCCCAGAACACTTGACTATGGAGCCACAAATTTTCACAATTTTGAAAGAGGAACTCCTGATCATCATAACCATGCACTTGATTTATCTGCTAAATACCCAGGCGCTGAGAAGACGATTTTCAAAGAATAAAATGGATTTCCACTATATAATCAATACAACCCTGCCCTAACACTAGAATATTTGACCCAGGGGCCATGAATTTCACAATTTTGGAAAAAGCACCCTTGATCATCATAAGTTTATACTTGGTTTGTTTGTTTAATAGACAGGAGCAGAGAAAAAGATTTTCATGCCAACAAATTGATTGCTTGATGTCCAGGAGTATAGAAGAAGATTTTTTAAAGATATCACTAAATTTGATGGTTTTAGCCCCACCCGTAAGCCCCAGGGGGCACGGACCTTTTTCCCTTTCACTCATAGATGGTATATGCCAAAAATGGTTAAAATTGGTTCAGCAGTTCCAGAGAAGAAGCTGAAGATGTTCAATTGTTAACGCAAGACGCACGCTGACGAACGAAAACAGATAGCAATAGGTCACCTGAGTGACTCAGGTGATCTAAAAATGCTTCACGGACTATTTTTAATGAATGCACCCGACCTGGTTAGCAGTGTTATGAGTCTAGACAGAACTTTAAAAGTAAAAAAAAAAAGTTTTATTAAATAAGTAGGAATTTTACATTTTTTTCAATCTGCAGGCCTTGTCTCCAACAAATATAAAGTTAACATTTATAACAATGTGTTGTTTAACAAAATTTCATAATTGTATAATAACAGTTTAACAACTGTTTAACAAAGTGGAAAAGAATGTTATAAAACAATAGATACTCGACCATTTACTAAAAAAAAAAATAAAATGGATGTCTGTTAACGACGCAAGATTGAAAAGGCACAATATGATCCGTCGAAAAAAATGTAAACAAATCTATGATTGGTCCAAGGGGAAAAACAGAATTTATCTCCCAGAACTTCATTTTAAGATGAACTTATTCAGAACGACACCCCAAGATCTCGAGTTTATACACCAATTTTGAGAACATCAAATTCTGATCATGTAATTATCATATTATTGTAAACAAATTATTATCGGCAACAACTTTTATTCGCGAACTCTATCAGCGACGACTAATTTTTGTGATTGAAGAATTTTTCTACATAAGTAGACAATAAAATAATAATTCTCAGCCAGAAATATTCGCGATTTAAAGAGGGTTGCGAAAGAAGCGGACATTTTTCGCACGCGAATAAAGGTTTGTTGGCAGTATTTTATTCCTCCTTTCTCTCTTTGACATTCTCTATGCCTACATTTTAACTTTGTTGGTTCAATAAACTTGAGAATATGTTTTTTTTTTCTTTGCAAAAAATGTCAATTATTCAATATGTTAATATGCGTATTGAGACAAATTATATGAAACTAACCTCTATCTGTTGATTCATATGTATATCTTACTACCCCTATCCAGCGTGGACCACTAAACGCTTCATTAACAGACATACATGCTAAAGCAGCGCTTAATAAGCTTAAGTTTCCCAAAAGATAGGCTCCAAAAGATTGGCATTCAAGCATTTTCATTCTCCATGTTTTGCTTTGTACATTCTGTGTATAATTTTCTGAAATAGTAATAATGTCTTAATTATAATACATGCATTTACAATTTAATAATTCGTTATAAAATCTCAGTAAAACGTTTTTGTCACTAACAACGGATATCTTTGATTAAATGAATTTTAAATAACTACATGGGATATTCAAGATAATTATAATTTTTATATTAGATATATGTTGATTTTGAAAATAAGTTCCATTAACATCAACAGGAAACCTTTAAAATAAAAGTTGAGGGATTGTTATTCTATATTTTTAGTTACTGCATGATTGGGTATGACTTAGCACCTCTATTACTGATTTTAGTTTCTTCATACCTGAAAAAAGACTCTTACATATTTATGAAATAGACATTCTGTATTTGCTCAGCTTCATTGCATCCCTACATGTAACATATAAATATTATAGTTAACTATAATATCGAAGATTTTACGTTAGTTAATCAAAGATTTAACTTTAGTAAATCACAGTAATTTTACTAAGAATTTCATATTGCAATAATTTATGTTCTCCAAATCATACATGTACACGTACACTTTTAATTGAAGGGGCCTGGACACAGTTGCATTGTTTACATTTTAAATTCCTACGCTTATCAAAAAAATAAAACCACTTAAATGACTTTAACTTACATGGATATTCTTAGAATTCAATGACAATGACATAGTTCATTACATCACGTCAAACATCTGTTTTTGTAAACAGGGCACTAGCTGTTTATGTTAATGTTAACGTTTCGCCGGGTGTGTTCAATTTGTTAAACTCTACACACATCATTGAGCACGGACTGACAATACTGGTGAGTTGGTTCTGCTTTCTCAGATTTCTACTCTGAGTTTTCTGGATTGCAGTTTTAATATTTTTCATTAATACACAACAAAATTTCTACTTTTCTTAAGCATTAAAGTGACAGTACGGCGCATCTCATAAAAAATTGACTTGATAATATTTTCTGACAAGATTTGGAATCTTTTTACTACTCATAAATGTATATTAAACTTTCAGAAAATTACAACTTTCACAATTAAATAATTTTGATTATTTCATTAAAATTATTAGTTATTTATGGGACATAAATATATACATCGCAACGTGTTCGGGGTTCCACATTCCATGCTATGCACGTGATCGGGAGATCGTGAGTTCGAATCTCGGCCGCGACTGACCTAAGTCGATAAAAAATGGGTAGCAACTGTTCCTTTGCCATGCGCTCGGTACTTTGAAGTGAAAGTTGCGGGTCCTTCGGATGAGACCTTAAAAACCGAGGCCCCGTGTCACGGCAGACGTTGGCACGATAAAGATCCCTCACTGCTCAATGGCCCTGAGTGCCGAGTAAAGGTCAAAATTTGAAGCCCTTCACCGGTATATGGTGACGTCTCTATATGAGTGAAAAATTCTCGAATGGGACGTAAAACAACATACAATCAATCAATCAATCCATGCTATGCACGCATGCGTAGTTTTCATAACAAAACAGCATGGTAAGAGGGGGAAGCGCGGTAGGCCTGCTACATTGACAAAGTCGACCAAAAAGAAAAAGAAAAAAGAAACTGAAAATTGAGCTTGAAAAAGCAACTTTCCTGACTAAAATTTAGTTTGGGGATTAATATAATCGTTCGATGAGGAAGAAACGGGAACTCGCGACACTGAAGGTTCTACTCGACGGGTTTCTTGATACTTGTTATAATTTCTCATTTTTTCATCGCTTTAAAAAAAAAATAGTGTAAACTCAACATAAAAATACGCCTATGACTTATAAACATTGTTTTTTAACTGTGCAGAAAATTATTTTGTTTGACATTTTGCCGCGATAACGTATGATTTGGTGGTTTTCCTTTCTCGGACCCCAATACACAAAACGTCAACATTTGTAATTTTAATTCTGTTAAATTCGTCTGAAAGCAGATTTAAATCTTTACGATTATTATTTTATATTATTTTATCAGAAAGTTATGATATTTTGCTTTTGAGAATTGATTTTACCTCATATTCATTATAATTGTAAACTCTACAGTGTATGCACGTGCTCTTTTAGAATTCACGGGGTACAAATAAACAGATCTAAGATTGCTCCACGACCCTTGATTTTCCGGCAGATTCTAATTACGTTAATTTTGAGGAGAGAATATTTATTTTTTCTCAAACTGCTAAATCAACTTTATACCTTATTTCTTAAAGATATATTGGGTAAATTTGAATTTGCAGCCGTGCTCTCGCTTTAAGGAGAAAGTTTACTTTGTGAAAGTGTCAATCAAATGCGTCCCGAGATTCGTAGTTTCAATAATTTCCAGTTAAAGAAGTTTCTGAATACGCTTTTATTATATTTCCGTTTAAAATGCTGTAGCAACATATAAGTCATGATATGCTACAGGAAAAAAAAAGAGAAAATATTAACTTAATTCAAATATGTGTCAAGCGCCCTTTAAATGGAACTATAAAATGTATATTCATATATTATTTCCAAATTTTACATCACTGTTATTTTATTTAGAAAATCTCAAAACAAGATGTGTTTGTGAAACACTGATGCCCCCGTATGGCAACTTTTAGCGAAGGTTAAACTTTCTCAAAAGCAAATCAAATATGTTTGTACCCAAAGTAAGGACTTGTACCGAGGAATATATCTGTGAAAAATAAAAGCCCTAGAAGCAACCATTGAAAAGAAATGGAAAAGGTTAAAGTTTGTCAAAAGTAAGTTAAACATCAAGGTCAAAATTAATGGTGCCCAAGGAAAGGCTTTCTCACAACAAACACACATGTGAAATATTAAAGCTCTAGCACCAACCTTTCAAAGATATGGCCAAGGTTAATGTTTTTCAAAAGTAGGTCAAACTCCAAGTCATAGTAGTCATAGTAAATCAAAGTTTTACTATAGTTAACTATAAGGAAACTATAGTTAATTATTAATAGTAATTTTTCCCATCTGATTTTGCATATTATCTAGAACACTGTGGTGACGGTACATATTCGCGTTTTGTACATACATGTGATGTCGTCGGCGACAATATGCACCTATCTTCACTGCACATATTGTCGTTCATTGACATATATTGTCGGCGGCTGAAAAATTTTACATGAATTGTCGACGGATTTTTCCGTTATTTCCCGATTATGACAAGGAGCACACAGCTGGTGTGACCAGTTAGCAGGGGATGCTCACTCCTCCATGGCACCTGATCCAACTTTTAATGTTTTAGAGGTCTGTGTTTGCTCTGATCCTGATTTTTATTGTTTAATGGGCTTTTGAGCTTGAATACTGTTCGTTATTTCCATACATTTCATTTTAACCACAGAATATGTATCTCTGCTGGTTGACAGTCTGTCCCCGAGGATACTTGTCGTTCAGTACATGTACCTATTTATTCATGAGTACAAAGAATAACGAAATGATACTGGCAGACGTGTCGCCTAGTATAAAGAGGCGTCACTTTTTGAGTCTAATAGGGACACAGACTCAAAGAGTTCATTCGATGCCACAGGGATAATCCTCAGGGATATTAAACATAATGTCATGTGTGCAGTCCTCATATTCACAGTTTCGGTATAAAACCAATAGTTCGTACATAAAATTGAAAGAATGTAAAGTTACTGTTAGAGATATATATGAAGATTCCTTTTCCGATCCCTTGTTTTCTATTTCAAAATGTTCTGCAAAAAACTGCAAAACCTGTGACATTTTGATAACAAACATTTCTTTTACTAGTAATCTTACTGGACAGAGCTTGTGACGGGACATATTGTCGTTTTGTACATAATGTCGTCGGCGACAATATGTACCTACCCTCACTACACATATAGTCGTCCATTGGTACATATTGTCGCCGACAGAAAAGTATCATATGTACATATTGTCGCTGGTGACATTATATGCCTCACCCTCACTGTACATATTGTCGCCCCACAGACATTGTTGTTTAAAGATTTCTTTTGTTGATTTTTGGTAGTTTTGTGAGTGTAATTGGTGTGAGAATAACACTAACGTGTCTCGTATGCTATTTCATGCAGCGTGATTGTGACGGTACATTTTGTCGTCCTGTTTCATATTGTCGCCGGCGACAATGTGTACCTTCCCTCACTGCGCATATTGTCGTCCGTCAGTGTAATTGTATATGCTAAGTTAATTATTTAATTATGAAATTTTACCTGTGGACTAAGTATATACAAGTTAAACAAACAGAATTTACCAAAGCAAAAAAAAAATCAAACCAACAAGCGGGGGGGGGGGGGGGTGCTATATCTGTCTTTGGTGTTTGAAATGATTTTTAAAGATTTTCTGTATATATTCCTATTTAAAACTTTGATCACCCATTGTGGCCCCACATTACACCTGGGGTCATGACTTGAACAAAATTGATTTTGTTTTTGTTTGTTTGTTGTTTAAATGTCTAAATTTTTTTCTAATTTTTCATTCATATTGAGACGTCACCACTTACCGGTGGAAGGCTGCAAATTTAGAAGAATACTTGGCACTTGTTAATTGAGCAGTGAGGTATCTTTCACATAATTATCATGTCTTCTGACCCAGTACTTCTTGAAAAAAAAATTGAAAGAATTTTTTTCTAAATATTCTATGAAAAATTTTGATCACCTATTGAAGCCACACCTCTGAATAAAACTGAATCTTCACTTCATAATGAAGCTTTCACATAAGATTCATCTTTTCTGACACAGTGGTTCTAGAGAAGAATATTTTAAAGAGGTCACTAAATTTTCACTAATTCTTAACTACTTCCCTTGAAAGAGGGCACGACCCTTCATTTTAACAAATTTGAATCCCCTTTATCCACGGATTTCTTTGTGGCAAGTTTGCTTGAAATTGACCCAGTAGTTCTTGAGAAGAAGCTGAAATGGTGAAAAGTTTACAGACAGAGACGGTCAGACAAAATGTGATCAGAAAAGCTCACTTGAACTTCCAGTTCAGGTGATCTAAAAATGTCAAACCAGACACCAGTTATATTTTGACACATGATTGTATATAAGAATAACGCAAAAAATGACTTCCAAATAATCATTACTAATGAACAAAAAAACTAACATATGTATTCAATCTCCAAGTATATATTACAAGAAAAAAGAATATACTGATGTATCAGATATCTCAAGAATTACATCTTAACATATCATAGTGATGTACATCAATCCTGGACACAATATTGTGACCAAAAAGTTTTCTCCCTACGGTATTGCAAGTAATGCTGTTTGTCTCCCTCTGTGTGTGTGTGGGGGGGGGGTGCTAATCTCTCTTTCCTTTTTTAAGTAAATTTTCGTCAAAACAATATATCGACGACAATATATGCCGACTTTGACTGTACATATTGTCGCCGACGACAATATGTGCTTGATTTTACATTTTGTCGTCCATTATGCAGGAGGAAAACAAGGCTCGTCTTGGAACATATTGTCGCCGGCGACAATATGTACCAATGGACGACAACATGTGCAGTGAGGGTAAGTACATATTGTCGCCGACGACAATATGTACAAAACGACAATATGTACCGTCACATAAGTACATATTGTCACTGGCGACATTATTTGCCGGTTTCTTAAGGATTTTTTTATTTTTTTGGTAGTTTTATGAATGTAGTTGGTGTGTAAATCACACAGACGTGTTTCTTATGCTATTTTAATTAGCGTGATTTTGACAGTACATATTGAGGTCATTTGCGACCTGGGTTTGAACCCACTACCTTCCGATCATAGAGCGAATGTTTTCATTGTCGCCGGCGACAAGATTTACAGAGCAACAATATGTGCCGTCACATGCCTGTTTTGTTCACCATATTGACAACTCCATCGAAATAAAAGCAAGCGTTATGTTTGTAAAAGGCAATATAATTACCGATGATGCTTCAATAGTAATCTTTGAGTCGAGGAAATAATTAATTATTCCGAACCTGATTGCATACAATTCAATATTCACATTAAGCTATTAGAGGTGTAATACGCCATTTCCGGTAAAAATGACGGCATTTACCGAGGTGTCTGACATCGGCAGTTTTCGGAACCCTGTACTTCGTAAACAAAAATGGCGTGTCGTCAAGACGGCCTAGGACGCTAACATAAAACATACACCAAAGAAAAGGAATATAACTTAGCAGAGGAGAGAATAAATATGATATTACGTAGAAAACACGTTAATATATTTTGTTAGACAAAATATGCAGTCAAAGCGATGATACCTTCAAATACACACTTCATGGGTTTTTCCAACTTCTAAAAATAGCACCATTTTCGAAGACCTTTCTTCAAAACTTTACATTCGCATCGCGATTTTTTGTGATTCTGTCAATATCAGCAAACCGTTTGAGGGGAAAAAAATGTACGTAATAGGTAACATTGCGTGCATTGTAGAATCTGCAACTTATAAGTGACGTTCAATGTCCATACGTAAAATATCTGAGATGTTCAAAATATATCAGTAAAAAATAGAATGTAAATATGTTTACAACATTAAAGAAAAAAATTAATATTAGATATGGGAATAAATGATTTATTCTGGGTTGGGTTAGGCTGTTTTTTGTTATTTTATTTACATTAATTATTTTTTTTTTTTTTTTTACATAAGTTTACTGTTTAGAAGGGGGGGGGGGGTGAATATTTTTTATTGATATTTTTTTATATACATGTGGGGAACAAATTATTTTTTTTTTACCATTTGGTTATGTTTCTGTCAGTATATATTTTAGTCTACATTGTATAGTAATGTTTTGATCTGTAAAGAACTTTATGCACATGGAAGCTGCAAAAATGTAGGTCATTTGCAAATCTTTGTCTGGGTCAAGGTCACTGTGACGAGGTCAATCTTCTGAACAAATGAATCTGACTAAATTGAAGTGTATTCAATATGACAATAACCTGTTGTTTATATATGCTCATCATTTAATTAATTATCACATATCCCATGACATTTACAAAAAATAATGGCTTAAATTTTTAGGGGTACATCGCTATGATACAGAATATAGATAAATATTTTGGATGGAATAAATTTTTGTTGTTGTTATATTACCACTAACACACCTTACACAAAATTGATATTGTTCTTTTATTGATATTTCCTACCCTATTTTTCTTTGACAGAATATTACAAACGGTTTTATGAAAAAAATCGCCAAAATTGTCACTTAAAGTAGACAAGTTCTCTCGATTACAAGTAATCTTATGTCATATCTGATGAATTTGAACTAAAAAGAATGCATATATGCAATCTGTACTGCTTAGTGTTGCAGCTGAATACATGAAACATTCAACTGTTTGCGACTAACTAGAGTAGAGGTAAAAATTACATCTGTACCTTTTGTCTATTAAAGGTGCACCAGTGGTTAGAGGGTACAGGCATGAAAATAAGTATAGAAAAATTATGCTTGGACAGAATTGCATGAAACTTTGGGAAATATTGCCTGAAGTGTTGTCCATTATAACTAATTAAAACTGAATTTATTCATATTCAAGGTCATGACCATTACACCCCTAATACCTTAAAAAAGAGAACAAGAACGTTAAAATATTTAATCTTATGTTTAATTAATTGTCTATTTTCTGTGATTGCGATAGAAAAAAAGAATAACAGTTAGAACAACAACAAAATATTCAATATTCAGCAACACAGCAATTGCAAATTAGTCCTTCTGTTACTCATCAGATAATTGATAATTTATGGTTATATAAAAAGAGTTTACAAAAGGTACTCCCCAGCCTGGGAGTGTTTAAGATATGAAAGCAAATCGTCATGATTTTCCGGATAATGACGTGGTAAAAGTGCATGGTGAATAAAAATTGAAGAGTTGTTCAACTAGTAAAAATTGTATTGAATATGCTACAGCTGACACAAGGATAATTAATTTTTTTCTATATTTTGTACCGCGCCTTGCAGAATTTAGCCTACTCTGCAAAACCATGGGCATTATCACGTGACAAAGATCCAGGGTACCAGCATGTGGTTCATCTTGAGATCTGAACATAAATAGGCCTACATTTTCATTTTGATGACAATAAATTCTTATCATTTATCATTGACTTTATTACATCGATGAATCAATTAAATTAGGAAATGCACTTAAACTTCTATTTATTTATTTTTTTAAAATTATTTATTTATTCATTTTGCTTTGAAGACAGTCTGAATTAAAAAAAAAAAATATCGCTATTTCAGCTTTGAATATCTTGTGCTTTCCTTGCATGGATGCTTTAAAATTGTGAAAGTACTTTTTGAAATGCCAAGTTTTGTTTGCGGCCGATTTCATGCTTTGCATCAATTTTACATGTACTTGTTATTTTCTATGTATATGTATAACAAAATCGTCCAGTTTCTGGGATGGATGGTAAGTTACATGTATAGTGATAAAAAGCATTCATCATCATCCCCTTTTCCCCATGTTTTACACCTTTCCCCAAGCCCGTTTAAAGAAAATGTATAAATAACATGGCATTCAGAACATATGAAACCCGTAATATTTTAAAACTATAGTCTATACGATGAACAATTGTGTGCAGTAGATCTATATGCATGGAAACTTCCCGTTATCGATGAAAATCGGACGGCTTAGCAACATTATATTTACTGATAAAGAGCATTTTCTGATACATTTTATAATTGTAATGGGACAACTATTTGATTCGGGGAAGGGGATGGCAAAATTTTTTGAGTCAGATTATTTATTCCCATGCCAGTAATTTTTTTCTCCACTGAGAAAAAATTGACAAGCAAAAACAATTATTTCCAAAATCTTTACTGGCCAAATCCTGGAATTTGCCAATTCTAGACCTTACAACATCATAAAGGGGGTGGGGGGGGGGACCAGCATCTAAAGAAAAAAATTACTATAGCAAAACCTATAATCAGAAAAAAGTTGAGGGGGCTGGCCCCCGCGTTCTACGGGCCTGAGATAATAAGAATTAAATTTGCAAGTTTGGTCATAGCTAGTGATTTTATGGTCAGGGCTAGTGAAAATAAAGGGAGGTAGCCCGACTTTCTAATGCTTCTTAAGGTTGATGTTAAACCCTGTTATGTGAATGATTACGAAAATGTACCTGTTGTCTTGCAAAGCATTTCTAATGAGGAATTACAACCACCATATTTATGTTGATCAATGAAACTTTCTTCTCCTGAACATTGCAATGAAAGACAGTCACTTTCTATTACCATGGGAGTTAAATCTGTAGTGAAATAATTAATTAGATATTGTTTATTTGGCTGGATATCTATATTTTGTAATAACACTCCTTAATTATCAATCTTTACCCCTGTAAATTCAAAAAGAATATGTCAACAAAACCTCGATGTGTTTGTTAGTTACCTAATTCAAAACGGGAACTTATTTTCTTCCCTTTAAAAAACGAATAATTGAAACGACTGACCTATTATAATTTGAATTTATTTCGATAATGACTTAAATTTTCTTGTTTTAAGTTACCAATTATGTGTACTAAATGAAAATAAAATAAATAATTTTTTTTTACCTGATTCGAACACATTAAATGATGATTCTCCACCACATTCAGAAGCCAGTAATAAACTATTGTCGCACGTGTAGTTACACATATTTGGGATTAATGGCAAAACGTCCAAAGCATGAGGAAGACAGATACATAGTTTAGCCTGTACAAATAACATTATCAAGGAAAAGTTGTGCAAAAAAGTATTTCCATTGACGTGATTTACAAAATAAATATTTATTCCAATTAGGTTGCATATGGGAGAGTTAATAAAAATTCAGTCATTATCCATGATTGAAATTTTAAGTGCGTACTGTTCATTGGACTATCAGATTTTTAACAAGCGGCCCATGGACCACATCGCTAACTTGAGCGCTTTGGTTACAGAAAAGCAGAAACCAGTTCAGTATTGAAAGGTTCATATATAAGTGGTTACTCTCTACCAGGGATAGGCGAGTGTGACTGTCATCATTTTAACTAACCTGAATCTACACTAACTGAAGATGCTTCCATATTTATATGACTAATCACTTTAAAAGACTTTAACAAGTATTTTCCTATGCACAGTTCAAATTATAATTAGTTTTACATTTCACAAGACTTCATACATACATCATTAATATAATATATCTTTTTGTTTAAAAAAGTTCGTTGCTTTTCTATCAAATAAATAAGACGAGATAACATGAACGCTTACCTGTATGGCAAATAAGGACCAATTTTGCACAAGACAGAGTTCTTGACATAACCCTGGTGATGAACTCGTCAGAGAGTACTGTTGGTAATCAGAAATTCTCACATCAGATTCGTTGTAGCATCCTAAAATGAGCCTACATCATACAAATTGTTCATGCATGATTGATGTCGATTAAAGAGAGACATCTTATCCATGCATTTGGACACAAAAAATGGGGAATTTCCAACTTTTAAAACCATATCTTTTCGTCTTTGAGAGGGAATGGAGTTACAAAGATTTATAAGAAAGTGTTAGTCTTTAACATGTATGAATTAATAAGGAAAAGGTTCGGGTGCAATAATTCATTTGAAACCATACAATGTGAGACTTGAAACTGAATGAATGTTTTGTTTTAAATGAAATCTTTTACTGTTTTCAATATTCAAAGCTTCAGAAGACATATATATTGATACTGAAGAGACAAAAAAAAAAAAAAAATAAATAAAAAAAAAAATCAAATGATCTGCATTTGGTTTGTATAATTTATTTATTATTTTGTATCATTTTTCGGACCATATCCAATATACTAGCAGACCTAAAATAATGAAATTTAGCCAGTTGATAAATACAGATAATCTAAATAGTGACTCAATTATAAATGTGGGACAACTTCAAATTTGTCACCTTAAATTTTACACTCTGTTAAAACCAATATTATACATTTATTGAATGGGTTCGAGGGCCCAATAACCAAACCGTTTGCCTGAGGCCATTAGACCGAAGGCAAACAGTTTGGTTCGTAAAGAACGCCGCAGCTGCCTTGTGTGGAGAACATTCATTATTTGCTGATACTTTATCTTTATATGCTGATACTTTAACATTATATGCTGATACTTTAACATTATATGCTGATAGTTTGTCATATGCTGATACTTTAACATTATTCATTACACCTCTATTAAGAATACTCAAATTTGATTGGCTTGTTAGAAGGCTTTTAAACTCAATAATGACTCCAAAAAGTACCATTGACAGCAATAATGACCTGGGAATCATTGCACGTGGCGTATAATGACCCGGTCATTATAAATAATGACCGCTCAAAATGACCTGTTAATCTAAATTCCGTTCAAATTTAAAAATTAGTGCATACAGTAATGACTGTGCCTTACAAAAAATGCCGTTATAAAAATATGTATAGTATTTTTATGATGCTGAATACGATTGTCCTTTAGATGCTTCATAAAATTTATCGTTCTCATTGAAACTTTCGTTACAATGTCAAATTCAACGAATGCAGAATTGTCTCTTTTGTACAGTAAAAGTCTGCACCAGATTGTCTTTGTACTCGGAAATGGTATTTGTGAATTTATAAAAATGCATGTTACCGACTATCACAGAGTGTTTTGATAAATCGGTGGTGAAAAACTTACAAAACTTGCAAGCGAAAAGTAAACAACTTCACTAGCGAATCCTGATCCCGATGAAACACTGATATTAACAGTTCGTAGATCTAATAAACAATTGATTATTTTAGTAATTAAGCCTAATTGACTTATATCGGTTTAATAAAACAATTGATTACCCCTTATAAGTTTAACATGGTGAAATAAGGACCCGAGACCTGGCCCACAAGGTGACCTGATATAAGGGTCCCGCGATATAAGGGGTAATTAATTGTATAATGCTGATACTTCAACATTATATGCTGATACTTTAACATTATATGCTGATACTTTGTCATTATATACTGATACTTTAATTTTATATGCTGATACTTTGTCATTATATGTTGATACTTCAGCATTATATGCTGATAGTTTGTGATCATTATATGCTGATACTTTGCCATTATATGCTGATTCTTCAACATTATATGCTGATACCTCAACATTATATGCTGATACTTCAACATTATATGCTGATACTTTAACATTATATGATGATACTTCACTGTATGGTGCTTTAAAAATAGGTTAAACATCGGGATCGTGATACCAAAATCGTCCAAAACGCATGTATTAACAGAATGTGTGAGAATATTAAGTTTTTGTTAAGATGGACTATTGCAGGTTGTTCGACGTATGCACGCCTTTTCTCAGCTAATAAGGTCTCTTTGGCCGGGTTTTAAAGGTTCAAGTGGATATAGACATTTCGATCGTTGTTCACATTTATCATTTCAAGGAAAACTTACCTCGTATCTTAACGTAGGTCGCGGGTTTGCAGGTCATTTAAAAGTGTTCGAAAACATACCATGAAAATTAGTTATATGAATCCTCTACCTTCGTTTTTTATTTTCTGAAAATTTTACAAAATTCGTCTGCATCGTTTTTGTGCAATTTAATCCCAAACATGCCATGGTTGTCGTTACATTTTCGACGTTATTCTATTGAATTATATAAGAAAAACGTCATTTTTAGCTCGTTTTGAGGCAAGATTTTGTTTCAAAAAATATCAATAACTTTTAAATGGTGCAGACGAAATTGTTTTCCCTTTGGTATTTTAACAAAGAATTGATTTGAAATAAATCAATGTGAAAAAATTAATATGTCTTCGGGTTAGTTTTCGCGTAATTTAAATGTGGATAATTGCTTTTATATCGCAAAATGTTACATTTTTAAGAACGACGTCATAAAATATCGCGACGTTATGCTTGACGTCGTAAATATCTATCCGGTATTCAGTGCAGAAAAATAAGCTAAAATAATTTTTATAAAAAAAGAAATTCACGTCTATCTGCTTTTAAGTGACCCGTGAATCGTATCATAATAATTTTATATCAATGAAATGATTATTAGATATGTTTCTCTTCAGATTAGGGTTTTTGTACGTCTTATATTAGTGAAAATTCCCGCAAGGGACGTAAAACAACAATCAATCCTTTAGTTTCTTTCTTCCAATTTACTTTCTTTTTGTATTGTTTTCTGTTTGTTTTGCTTTTTTTTTCGTTGATTAGACGTATCCTTACATTTGGCTGTGTATTTTTCTTTTCAAGTGTGCTGGCAGAAAACGGTATCATTTAATTCAAGTAATCCAAGTATATTAAATGTTTTTATTTTGACCATTCAGCAAGGCGCTCAAATCTACGAATTTCTGAATTTCTATCGTCCCCGCTAAAAACAATATATTTTCAGTATATATTTAAACAAAATATTTATTTTTACATACCACATTTCCAGAGGGGTAAATGGGACAAGGATTTAAAAATTAATTTTATTTACGTAATCAACAGCCAGTTTTTTTTTATAACATTAATTCTACTTGTTGGACATGGAAAGCAAAGTAGCGAATAAAATCTGTAGGTTTCAGCATTGCAAGCTGTTGCTTAGGGGATGATCATTTCAGGGGGGACTTACAGATTTTGGAAATAAATAATCTGTCCTCGAAAATGTTGAAAATAAATAATCTGTCGTCGACTGGGCAAGAAAATAAATAATCTGTCCAAGACTAGTTCTGACCCCCACCCCCGAGTTTTCAACTTTGATTTTTTTTTTTTTTTTTTTTTTTTTTTTTTTTTTTTTTTTTTTTTTTTTTTGCTTTTCAGACATTTCAGTTAAGAAAAAATAAATAATCTGTCCTTGTTTTTTTGGGAAATAAATAATCTGTTCTTCACCGACATGAAAATAAACAATCTGACTCGATAAATTTTGCCAACCCCCCCCCCCCCACCTCTCCCTCAGAATCAAATAGCTGTCCCCTAACAGGAGGTCAGTGTCACTAAAAAATTATCTTAATGTTTCATCGTACCTTGGCAGTATTTAATTTATGATAAACTTGTACATCTATATATTTTAAAAAAATAACCTGTTTAAAATTAAAATTTATTCTTATGATGTAACAGGTGTATTTGCGATTTTTAGATATTGGCTTCTTTCTTATAAAACAAACTGATAATTCAAATACGATCAAAGGAAAAAAAGGTCAGTTGAACCTTGTGTCCATATCGTTTCGCGATACCAAGTGAAAACAAATCAATCTCAATTTCTCGGGCCTTTCCGACAAGCCGAAAAACAACCACTTGTTTTTCCAAGATTGCAGGAAAGGCCAGAGAAGATGCGATTGATAACAAATAAACTTTTTTTAATGTTTCCAGTGTCGATCATTCGAATAAACCTTCTTCACTAAATTACCCATTCCAACAAAAGTTTTATTTAAGTATTGTATCGACTATACAAATCGTAAAAAGCCTTCATTATTTGTGATAAGTTGTTGCTTAAATAATGTAACACTAAACTTAACTACCAATTCCAAGAAAAGTTATAGCTAAATAATGATATACTGAAGAATTTAATAAAACAAAAATCATCGCAGATTTCTTTTTCATTGTGACGTCATAATCAAATGTGCACAAGAAAGTCGCCCAAATCATATAAATTGCGTACCCAGTTTTAACGACGTCAGCAAACCCGCGACCTACGTTAAAATATGTTTGTGTAATCATGGGGGCTTATAGTTGATATAATAGTTAGTTAATAGTTAATACAATTTTTTGAATCTACTTTAAATACACTTAAAAGTTGTTAAAATAAAGATTCTGACACTTTCAGTCAAGAAAACCCACGTTTAAAAAAGACGTACCACACCTATATATATACATAAAGTATATAGGTGTGGCATGTGTACGTCTTTAAAAAAAATGAAGAAAAAAGTAAGAGGTTGAAAGAAAGAAAAAGTTTTAGAAAACTTTTATGTTCTTGATATTCAAAAGAGAAAACCCGAATCTTGAGAAATCTTTGTTCTTATGTACTCATTTTTACTACAAGTATTTTGAGTTGATGTTGTCATTTTGTCATTAATATCCCCCCCCCCCCGTCGCCCGCGTGGCGCAGTCGTCAGAGCGTCTGCTCTAAAATTGCGAAGTAAGGAGTTGGTCCTTACGTCGCGGGTTCGAATCCCACTGTGGGACGTGGAGACCAGTCCTTCGGATAAGAGCGTATAAACCGAGGCCCCATGTCGCAGTAGGTGTTGGCGCAAAAAGATCCCTCGCTGTTCAATGGCCCTGAGTGCCGAGTATAGGTAAACGATTTGCAACTCTCCACAGGCAAGTGGTGGAGTCTCCATATGAGTGAAAAATTCTCGAGAGGGACGTTAAGAAATAATCAAACAAACAAACCCCCCCCCCCCCCATCTTGAAATCCTGTATACCCCTCTGGAATGTGTTGACTGGCTTACAAGTTACATGATTATGTGTATTGTTGCAAAAAATAAATAAATACAAGTAAATACATGTATTTTAATGTAATTTCTTACAGATACTATAGATGAATTTATACTGCATAAGGTATAATTTAATTGAAATTGAAGAGTTTTTAGTGAAATATTATATTACTTGTTTGGATGTTAAAAATATTATTTTTTGAGTTTATGATTTTTAATTTTTTGGAAGGGGGGGGGGGGTGTTGGCAAGATTACAACTCCGTAAATATTCACAAAGTTCAAACTAACTTTAAAAGCTCAGTTTCGGTGATTTTACAGTTTTTCAGAATGATCGCATGCATGGTATTGGATGTATAGACCAGCTTAAAAAGAATCTGGAAAAGCTTTTGAGTCATTAGTAGCCTAAATTACTATGTCGATGTCATCCCAATGAAATCTCTGAACAAAAACCCCCGTCCTACCGATTTAAAAATTACATATAAAAGAGCTATCAAAAACTTAAGTGCTGACGCGTGGTTCTGAGGCCGGAACGACCATGCGATACGCATGGGGGGGGGGGGGGGGTTATCATATTATGTGAATTAATCATCTGTACTAGAATGACTATGGCGTGGTGGTAGCCCCACCCCTCTCCCCAAAGAAATGGAATTTTCGAGTTTGGTTAGACTTTTTTGTTTTGTGTGAAAATATATAATCTGTATCTGGTCATCTAGAAAATGAATAATCTATCATTCACGAAGTCACATGAAAATAAATAATCTGACTCGAAAAAGAAAATTGCACACACACCCCCCTCCCCCCAAACGAATGAAATGTTTGTCCCCTATAAATTGTATTATTCTGCTTTGATGTCCTGTAACATCATTGATGTTTACAAAAAACAGCGAAAATTTAATACCATGAAGAGCTCCTGAACTTCCAAATTATCTTTAAATTTTCGTGCAGTACGCGCGCTTTTTGCAAAGCTATCTTCGTTTAGTTCACTCTTAATATCATATATTTACTCTCTACCCCTTTCCAAATACGCCAGTATATTCAAGACTGCTTACACGTGCCTCCTACATGTACCCCTTTTCGTCCCATCAATTTGCCAAAACATGTACATGTATAAACACCAATACATGTACATGTATATATATATATATATATATATATATATATATATATATATATATATATATATATATATATATATATATATACATATATATATATATATAATAAAACTTTGCAATTGATTTTTTTTTTTTTTTTTTTTTTTTTTTTTTGATTTTTTCTCTTGTCAAAGAATTTTAGTATGAAGATCCCGATGTTTAACCTATTTTTTAAAGAACCATATAGTGAAGTATCAGCATATACATGTAATGTTTAAGTATCAGGAGCATATAATGACAAACTATCAGCATATAATGAAAAAGTATAAGCAAATAATGACAAACTATCAGCATATAATGTTAGAGTATCAGCATATAATGTTGAAGTATCAGCATATAATGTTAAAGTATCAGCATATAATGACAAACTATCAGCATATATTGTTGTAGTATCAGCATACAATGTTGAAGTATCAGCATATAATGTTGAAGTATCAGTATATAATGTTAAAGTATCAGCAAATAATGAACGTTCTCAACATAAGGCAGCTGCGAGGTTCCATAGGTTCGAGGGGTCGACAAAACGCATTTTGCCCGAGAATACAGTCAATAAATGTTTTGTTATACCTTTTATTTATTCATTTTTTTTTTATTTTGGACATACATGTATGTCGATCGACCACTAACGAAATAATGCAAATGGGATTTAGCTGACCCCGCCCATTATGTGTCGTAAGCGGCCCAGCATCTCATCGACAGGTACAATATCTCACTCCGCGGTCAAACATCGATTTTTATGCCCGCTCAGTAACATATTGGAAATGTTAGACTTTTATTAGTATTGATTTATATAGGAACAAATTTTTAAAGGTAGAGCAATATACATTTATTGACTTGATTTCAGGGCAAAATGCGATTTGTCGGACCCAAGAACCTAAATGTTTGCAAGAGGCCATTAGGCCAAAGGTAAACAGTTTGGTTCGAGGGGTCGACAAAACGCATTTTGCCCGAGAACACAGTCAATAAATGTTTTGTTATACCTTTTATTTTTTGACATACATGAATCTTGTGCTGGCTTCCATGATGTATATTTCCTTTACAATTACTGCGGTAAAATTCGGTCAATTCTGTCACTGTCGCACATCAAAGAATGCAAATACGATTATGTTGATCCCGTTCACAGTGTGACGTAAGCGGTCCAATATCTTACATGTATTGACAGGTCCAATATCTCACTCTGCGGTCAGGGATTGATTTTTATGAACGCTCAGTAAAATATTGGAAATATTAGAAATTTTAAGTTTACAAGAATATGGAACCAATTTTTAAAGATAAAACAAATGGACTAAATATTTTATTTTCGTTCTGATAAGAATTTCTTTTTATTTAATGTTTTGAGAGCAAGCGATTACAGGGACACGATCTCTCAATACAATTCATAAATTTGCAGTCAATAATTAAACATCTATTTAATTTGATTACTAATAAATTGATATTTTACCTATAATTTTGATCCAACGAGACTGTCGTTTGTAATATCCCGTCCAGTAAGGTTTTCCAGGCTGAGTCTCATTCAACGTTAATGACTCGTTCAGATCTCTGCATTTTTCTTGTGCTTTAAACCATGTGAAATGTTTTGATAAAATGAAACCTGAAATAGGATTTGGTAAAACTTCTTCATTTTAATTTTAAAGAATAATATTATACTCATACGGGTTCAACATGAATCACATTAAATGTAAACTACTGATATGTTTGATGTAATTGCATGGTTACCTGGTACATGCATCACAATAATGATCACTACCATCATGGTGGAATGTTTACATCTAGAGGAGACTTTCTTTCCTTGCATACGTTTCAAATCCTCACCTGTTGAGGAAAGTAAACTTTTTGAATGCTATTTACGAGGGGTTATCAAAAAGTTTGTGGACTGATTCTATGCAGTTGGTGCTTTTAGAATCTATTAAGATCATAAAACAGCAGAAGTTTAAGAAGTGTTGAAAAATTTAGGTGTATACTTTAATATTTTGCCAAATTATCATTTAATACAAAAATCATCACATGATCACGCGGCGCCCGTAGCGTTGAGTTTCATGACGTCCGAAAACGTCATTGTTTCTCAATGTCCGCTCGCTCTGCTTCAAAAAACTTTTTTTGATGAGATTCCTTGGAGTTAAGACTGAAACCCGTCTTCCTCTTTTGACTTTATAATGTCATGAACTGGGGAATTCAATGCATAATATTGCAGATGAATGTACAAGGGGATAGATACTCAGTTAATTATGTCAGCATTATTTGCTTGTCGGAGATCCATGTTATCCGTACATGAGCAACGACACTGTTCGACGTGACTGACTTTGGACACCCGGAATACATTGTGCGTCTCTACTCTCTGAATCTTTTTCGGCATTTTAAAAGCATGTACTCTTGATACATTTTATTTCTCTGTGTAGCCTATTTAAAAATTTCATAGGTCTATGTCAGTTTTTCCAGGGGTGAAACTTTATAGTTTGTGGGAAAAAGGACGCACACACCCCGTTCTGATGTAATTTCTAACCCCTTAATGGTTTGGACTTTCTATATAAAATTTACGATAAGATTTCATAAAACTTAAAGAATGAAATAAAATTTGCAAATTTTACAGAACAATTGTGTAATACCACATGAATGAATTAGCGTGATTGTTGGGCAACAAATGCTCATATCGAAAGAAATTTTCTCCGTTAGACTTAAGTATAAAATATTATGAGGTTTTGCCGCCAAGTCATATCATTGCTTTTTAAAATACATACATTTATTAAAAAATGACTTATGAGATATAGTTTATTCTATAGATAGAAAAAAAGAAGTTTACTAAAATTGACAGATGTATCTAAAGCGGTTTTAATTTTATGGCGCTAGTCCACGAATTTTTTTATAACCCCTCGTACATAGTTATTACATGTACAGTTATTTTCCAACAATTAATTGCTGATGTGTGACTTCCGGAAGACTAAGAATAATTGATTTGCATTTTAGGATTTTTTTTAAATGGATTCTTCGGTGACTTTGTATAATAGGTTTAGATTAAGTGAAACATCGACGCTCAAACTTCCCCCTTTATGTGATATAAAAAGGGAAGTTTTTAAATACTGATGATAAGGAAGAATATACTTTCCCTAACGCTTATGAGTATACGAGGGCTGTTCGACAGGTAATATGTATTGTACCACAGCGCGATAACGCTTTGCGAAATGTCGTCGATCATGATACTTTTGAGTCTATTCAATATCTTTCCAACACGACATGAATTTCAGCTCTACATAGTTCTAAACTAATAGCCATTTCAATAGAGCCAGTCTTTGGCCACTTTTGTAAAATTGGTTGGGAAACGGATTGAGAATATTGAAGAAATTAAAGCTTATATGAAAGTTCGAATAAAACTCGGTCATTCGATAATGCAGGTTTTTACTGAAATTGGGGAAGTTTATGGGTTTATAGCTTTTGAGACAGTCCGTAGTTGGAGAAAGAGATGTCTGACTGGTTCAGAGTCTGCCAAAGATGCAGCAAAATCTGGTCGATCTGTGACTGGAACAGCCAAGGCAAATGTCTCAAAAGTCAGGGAAATAATTGAAAGTGATGGCAGATACGCAATTCGTGATATTGCCAAAGCTGTTGGCATATCGCTGTTGCGGGTGCATTTCATTTTGAAGCGTATTTTCTTAAGTACAAGCAATTTCTGCAGGATGCATTCCGCATTTATTGACAAATGACTAAGCAATTGCTCAAAATGTTTCCCTAATTCAGTCAGACAATTTGCAAACATTGCTACTAGTGACGAAATATGGGTTCACTATTTCGAACCAGGAAGAAAAATTGGAAACAAAATATCTTCATCTAAACACAGTGGAAGGTCTGTAGTTGCCAAAGAACCATAAGCACAAAGAAGGCTATTTGTTGCATATTCTTCTCATGTGATGAAATAGCAGTACAAATTCCGGTGCCGAAGGGTAAAAGTATTAAAGGACGGTATTACCGAGAAGGTATACTGAAAAAGCTTAAGAAATATTATCAAAACGGCGCCCTGTGTCAGGATTTAAGCTGTTCATCTACTTCATGATAATGCTCCATCGCAAACACATGAGCTTGTGAAACATATTTTATAGTCGTGGGAGGTTACCGTCTTGCCACACCCACCATACTCTCCAGATCTACCCCCATGCGATGTTTTCCTTTTTCCAAATCTTAAAAAAATGTGTTTTATCTGGTTGTCGTTACAAACCCCGACAGGCCCTTGGCTCAGCCATCCACCAGTGCCTCAGGGGTCTACCTAAATCAGCGTACCGTGACGCATTTCAGAAATTGATTCAGAGATTGAATTATGTATTTGAAACCGCGGAGAATACTTTGAAGGGATGTAATATTCATTTCACTATTTGAGTCGAATGCTTTTGATATATCGTACAATACACATTACATATCGAACAACCCTCATATAAATACCCACTTTGTTTAAGATTCAAAGTTTCGGGAAAATCTTCCGTCTGGGTATTGTTTCAAAGTAGTTTCATTTAAAAGAGGATTCAAAGCAAATTATAATAAATACTACAATAGAACTTCTGTTCACATAATTATGAGTAATACTATACTGAGTATTATATGTAAGAAATACAATATGCTATCGTCTAGATTTCCAGACGGGGCATCTCTAATTGTCAAAATTTACAAAACGTTTATGTTCTTTTGAAGGACTACAAAATAATAAGGACTACAAGATAGTAAAGACGTACACAGAAATAGACCAAAATTAACCGTGTTTTTTTTTTTCAAATTCATGTACTTCAAATTTTTAAAGCAGGTATTTCATACTTTTTCTTTCACAACAATTCTTATGACCTCTCGTACAGCTTTCCGTTTCACGTATCGTCACAAACACACAATAACGACGTCCATCTACATGTATCTATCTGTTGAAAGCTTTTTTTTTAAATTACATGTATTTCTTTAAAAATATAATTATAATTTTTACCTATGATTTCTTGATTTTGTTTCATTTAATATATTATGATATAATAGTCACTTTAAAGGTCTAAATATCCTTTATTAAAGTTTTTGACCGACGAATTGTGCAATAGAAACCCTAGTCGCCCTCTTAAGGAGGCTGGGGGGTCAACAAATTAACCATCAGATATAGCTTAATTTTTTAGATATATCTTAAGCTGTCAACTCTCATTTGGCAAACAAAAATTTCATACATTTTAGTTTTAAAATTTGAACATTTTTGTATATCTTTATATGGATCTCTTCTTCTAAAGGAGATCAATAAAGTCTGAAAATGGCCACAACCACCCAGCCCTCTTAAGTGCTTTTCACGAAAGCATTCATAGCAGATTAAACTTTAGATTTTACTTTTTTCTTAGCAACAACTTCAATAGGCTTCATTGCCTTTATTAAGGTAGGTGTGAATAAAGCAATGTGCAATGTATTCAATAGATACGTTATTGGTAATAAATATCGGGCGCAATCGACTGTGAATCAAGGTAGATTGAAATCTGACGTTACAATTACATGTCCGACGTAAACGTACGTCAACGAAAAATCGTAAAAGAAACTGTTATTGCAAATATTTTGCAATTATATTTCATTTAATTTTTCGAAAATAATTATTAAGAAATATAAAATGCTATTGTAGGGTTCGATTAAAGCGTATTTTGGCTTTATCATTTATATTTTTATACATAAGAATCCGCTCTTAAATACTTATGAAAGGGTCTGGGTCTCGTAAAATTACGACAAAACATTTTAAATCTCTTTTTAAAAAAAATTGTGAAAAAGAATTAATTCGTAAGATTTCTAGATCTCCTAAGATAGAAATTCAATGTAAGATTTTTGTTTCGTGAAAAGCTTAACTGAAACACATGACCGATGTGTATTATCAGTCATTCTACAAAATTATGCACAATTAACAGCTATGTCGCTTTCAAATTTACCCTTTTTATCTTAACTAACTGTAATTTGAAAGATAGATTTCAAATCTAACACTTTACATACATACATGTTTTTTTGATAATATTAAGCGATATGTATGCAGTTAAAGTTTAGAAATGAACACAATGTAACTTTTTAAAAACAAATTCCACTGCAATTCTTAATGCCGCTTCACTCATTTACAAATCTTAAGACGAAATTTGAAGTTGTATAAGTAATCCATATAAGATTGCATGGAATGCTGAAGAAAAGTTTTTATTTTATATAAATAAAAAAACAAGAAGTTTCTAACGAGACTGTAACTCTACTGGTTTGTATTTTGACAAAGGAACACGAAACTGTCCAAAAACAATATATTAGAATAATGATCCTTGATTTAGTCTTGAAATCGAAAACCAATATATTGATCGATTGATTGTGTGTGTGTGTGTGTGTGTGTGTGTGTGTGTGTGTGTGTGTGTGTTTTTGTTTTTGTTTTTTTTTTTTTTGTCCCGTTCGAGAATTTTCACTCATATAGAGAGCCACCATATACCGGTGAAGGGCTTCATATTTAGACCTTTACTCGGCACTCAGGGCCATTGAGCTGTGAGGGGTCTTTATCGTGCAAACGCCTTCCATGACACGGGACCTCTGTTTTTAAGGTCTCAACCAACACGTAGGAGTATTATAAAAGAATTTCACAAAAAATTCTATTTCAGCAACCATGGCAATTCCGTTCATCGAAATCCAAAACCAATATACAGAAATGTGTATCTTAGTGCAGTCTATTTGTATGCCAAGTTATAATGAAATCAGACCAAAACTGTAAGAGGAATAGCATTTTGATAAATTTCACAAAAATTTCTATTTTTAGTTACCATGGCATCATCAAAATCAAAAACACAA